GTTTTATTTTGTGTCCGACCAACAGCTCGTCCAGTCACGATGTCCCATTATTACTGTGCTCTAGTTGCTTGGGTTTAACATAGACCTCAGGCTTGACTGTCAGAATATGATACAGCCCAACTTGGCGAGTTCCCACATGGACTGATCTCTCCATGCTAGTAAAACACGAAATAATAACCGTGAAAAGTCATTTTAAGGTTTAAACACTTTTGTAACAGTTAAATGTTTCAAATTCTTCTCCTGAATTCACACACCAGTTGAGTAACTACATAACACGTCCTGAAATCATGCGTTTTCCTAAATGTACGCTATATATATATATATATTTCAGCATATTTACATCAATCCATTCAGCCAGTCATTCATCTATCAGGATATATGATGCTAATTTTTTCTCCCCAATAAATCAGTTGCCTGCTCTCTGCGACTGGCATGTTACAGGAGTTGGATGAGCGAAAGTACGTCACAACTACAGTGAACTCATTCCGTCCGTAATACGACAGGCAAAGCTAATTCCTGTTAATAACTGACGTGTAAGGGAAACCTACAATCCATCAGTCATCCGGTAATCCTTTTTCCCTTGATATTTCCCAGGAAGCCGACACAGTTAACATCACGACTTCGCATTCTGGGAAATTTCAGTACAAACTAATTCCAAATGGCCGCGCCACGGACAATAAAGAGGATTGTAAAATTATGGGATGCAAATAACATGAAACTGATATATACCCAGGTCGCTTTTACCCCCGGGAACAGAGGATCTGACATATATTGTGCAAGAGGACGGTCAGGCGGGGACGGTGACGTGGTGACGAAGAGAAATGTCCCTTCCTCCATGCCGGAAATAAAACCCGTCACCCAATTCACAACCAATCACTTTAGTGATTGAGCAATGCCTCTGTCGTCACAGATGGCGAAGGGAAATTAATTGCAGTGGCTTCTCTTAACGAGGCCAGAGAAGTAGAGCCCACACTTTCCTTGCTTAAAAATTTTGGACAGAGCCAGCCTCCGAAACGTTGCACCCTTATATTTGTTTACAATATTATATTTAAGCATCCTGTTACACGGCATACAATGTATGACACAAACTCCGTCCTGAGTGCAACAGTTTTTTGTAGTTATTTTGTCTTCTTTTCTTCTACACTATATGTTTCGGCCGCAGCCATCATCAGGTGTATACTCTCACGTAGCTGCTACACTGCATGTAGTTTAAATTTTAAAAAGACCAGCTTTCTTTAATTGTTCATTTCTCCGCTGTTAATAGGTCCCGATATATCAGAACTCCCTTGATGTATCTGTCAGATATGTATAAAATCTTAGTTAATTTACATACGGCAATTTTATTTTTGAATTTTGGTATTTTTAAAATCTTCAATTTAAATTTATATTTAATTTTAAAATTTTAAAATTTAAAATAAAAACTCACAGGGATACATGCTCTAGGTTGCACTCTGCACAGAGTTTGTGTCATACACTTATATTTGTATTGCGGAAAGGACCTGTACAGCACGAGACCTATGCAGATGGACACGTGTGCTGGAAGTACGTCCGGTGCACGAACTGGGGACGAGGAGCCAGACAAATTAATTAGAAATTAGTAAAAATGTAGAGAGGAATGAGTCAGATTGTGAAATGAATACTGTGAAGGTGGGCTGCAAGTGACAGAGGGCAGTGCAGTCATATTAAAAGTGAGAAAGCATTGTGGTGATGGTCTGGAAAGATTTCATTAACCAGCTGCAGAAGGATTACACAAGCCGGGAGCAGAGAATTACTTACTGGGCACTGCAAACAGAACAGAAAGAAACGAAAATGCGTGGTACAGGAGTACAGGAGGAGTAAAATAATACTTTAGTTTATAAGATCCTGAATTGGAAGATGTAACACGCATGGAATTAAGGAGTTCCTACTGTCACACATTACGCAAGAAGCTGAAAGGAAGAACACCCCCCCCCCACAGGGGTTACTTTTCGTTTATTTACCCGTAACATGTGAATACTTCTGAAACCCTTGTATTAATAAAATATTTCCGACACATTAGAGGAAATACCGTATTTACGCATGTATAGGCCGCACATTTTTTGCCAAAAATTCAAGAGGAAAACTGGGGTGCGGCTTATATTCGAAATATTTGAAATCACACTTCATTTAAAAAAATTATATTCATAATTAGTAATACAGGGTGTTCTATTCCTGAAATAATATTCCAAGAAAATTATTTTTTCTATAATTTGTCTGAAAATTGTGCTGCGGCCTATACATGCGTAAATACGGTATATATATGCGTATTCCGTTACTGTTCAGAGTATACTGAATATTAGCACGTAACATTAATTAAAAGGAGATGTTTCTGTCACAACGTGCCCCCTAGTCTGGGACTGTTACATCACACATATTGAAAATTAACAGTCAGTGGCTTTGCCTTTTCGCGAAGCCTGTTACATGATGACAAGACATAGAAGCTAAATGTTTATATCAAAAGAAGTTAGAGTTCTCGTGAAATTATGCCGCAGCTTTGCTTCCAGTTATTCAATACTTGACATGTGAGTTCTAAAATCCAGCCCCATGTGGTCACATTATGTGCAATGCCATATTTTAGAGATATATTTTTAACGTATTCTGAAACAAATTAATTTAAATGAATTTCATTTTCGTCTCACTTAGATGGAAGAAATAGTGTTACTCTTCTATGTACAGTTCGACGTACATAATCCACGTGACTACCAGGTCTGGTCTTCCCTGTGATAAAGACACTAAATAATTTAGAGGCAGGGTACTGAATAAACGTGGGACTTCCTTTAATTGTTGGTGAGGATTCATAGGCTTTCTATTTTGACTTTTTGTCATAAGACGCAAAAGTGACTCTTTGAAATTCCCGGGACTCAAGTCCGTAAATCAAGCTATGAAAAACTTGCAATTCATGTTCACCGAAAGGTAAATGTATTTATATTGTGGCAACTGTCTTCATCAGGACTCACTGTCACACAGAAACAAAACATTGGCCAAAGAGCAGAAAGTCTGGTATTGACAAAACAGAAATAATTATTGCATTACGATCCGAACTCTTACCTAACACACAACAAAATCCCAAGAATACGTTGGGAATTACTGAAAAAAGTTACCTAATCAATGTAAGATAGGAGCGGTAATTGTGGAGCAGCAAAGAAATTAAGTGCGGTCCACAGTGAAGATACCGCTAATAACATCCCGTTTTGAAAGAATTATTAATGTCTTTTACAAAAGCTAGAGGAAGTACTGTGGCCCCCGAAAAATAAAAAAAAAAGTAAAAATCGGTGCTAAGATGTTGACATAATTTCCAAAATGATTCACTTTGATTTATCTCGGAAACGAAATCAACTGCTGCTAGGTAGACCTTGATTTAACAAAGTTTTATAACCAAATTGTAAATAGTCCAGTTGCAACGATTTATGTTAATAAATTCAATTCTAATTGTTAAAGGCTAATATTTTATATTCATCACACTGTAATTGTGGTAACTGTAAATAACGGTAGTGAGCAGTGACACTGTAATAATGGTTTCCGCATGTATTGATATGTCCTTCTGAAGATGGTCGCTCCGAGCGAAACATATCAAGGATGAATTATTGAAGAAATAAATAAACATTTATCATCCACACTGGACGGCGTTGATGATTTTTTAGACCTTTGTTGGTTACTGAATATCGAACAACGATACAATTCGTCTAGCACCCTGAAGACAGAGGCAGTGCGTTCCTCCAAATCGTCAACGGACTTCTAAAGGCGTCACTTCTCAGAATCTAGCACCCTTCTTATCTAAAAATATTTCTTACTCGGCTCTCCGATATTCCGTTTCTTCGAAGTAGATCCGGTTGGTACACAAATATACATAATATACCGCTACCGCTTTGTAAGATATAAAGCAGGACTCCACAGGGCGAAGGAAAACTGTTCTGTAAAGCAGGTACCACATTCGAGCTGCATATGGTCACAGAGATGTACGAATTTATGGCCGGAAAGTAAAGATACAAAGTCCAGAAAATATTTGTAAAGCATTTTTTTTATCCGCTTGTAGCACTTTTACAACACATTATTATTTACTTTTCAACATTGTTCTTTAATTGCTAGTGGGGTGGGACTAAGTCCCTTGTACTGCGGCCATTTCTGGCCTATTGTACGAGCCCCAGGTTATAGGTGAGGGTGATTGTGGAGCAGTTGGTGGAATGAAGACTGGCAGGGGAAACCGAAGTACTCGGAGAAAACCTGCCCCAGTGCCACTTTGTCCACCATAAATCACACTTGACCAGACCCGGGATGGAACACGGGCCGCCGCGGTGGGAAGCCAGCGAATAACCGCTTGAGCTATGGCGCGGCCCTACTTTTCAACATAGTCACCATGGATTGCAGTGCACTTAATGAGTATGGGAACGAGTTTTTTTTTATTCGAGCGTCGTAGAAATCACCTGCCTGCTCTCCTTGCCACGGAGAACAGGTCTTGACGCTTCTGGACGTTGTTGATAAAGTTCATCGATGGTTAAAACGTCTGTCAGCACAAATCCTTTCATCAGTTTTTGGGATGATTTCATCAGTGACAACGGATGGCCTTCCACTCCTTATTTCATCATGAACATCACTTCTTCCAGCATTTGCCACGTGCCTGTTTATAACATCTTCACCATAAACAGAAACTAGTTGACGGTGAATTTCAGGAGCAGTTTCTCCTTTCGTGTGAAGAAATCAAATTACCGCACGAACCTCACATTTGGCACGATTTTGAATCAACACGGCCATTCTAAACACACACTGCGAGCACAACGTTGCCGTGACTGTGACCGGTGAACTCAGCCCTGTCATGCGGTTCCTATCTCACACGGCAGCAGTGCCATTTCTGGGGAAAAAAATTCCCTTGCATTTTTGTACTGGGCTTGTATCTTTACTTTCCGGATATCGTGCTACCAACAATATACAAAGAAAAACCGATGCCATGTTAACCTGCCGAGAGAAGCAAAGCGAACTGGACTTACCGCTGCTGAGGTGATCTCGTTCTTGAAGGCCTTCTGGCGTCGAAGCGTGATGTTAGTGGAAACATTCTTGGCTGCAACTCTCTTCTCGTCGCGAGAGTAAAGACGATGGCTGTAACAAGAAATTTCAATATTAATTTGGGGGTTATTTGTTTTATCTTATTCTGAGTAAGCAAACTAACCCTCTGATGGCTGAACTAGGCGACTCAACCCATCGAGAACCAAATCAGCCACTCGGTACGACCCTGACCTAGTTAAATCCCTCTCACAGTCTCAAAGTTGGATGATAATACACTGAAAGAACAGTAGCGCAGAAGATGCAGTGCGAACCGAGAGCGATTTACCGGAAACACGGTTAAAATGCTTCACAGTAAAAAGTTCTATGTTAGGAAATTTTGCTTATGAGGAACTACTTGAATTATATGGGCCGACTAGTGTTGATACGACAACAAAATTTAATATGGTACGATGGACTGGGTATGATTCGTGGGTGATTTTAAATAAATTGCTAAAAGGACTTCAATTTTAGAAACCTGACGGAAGACATTCTTTTAGGAAGATGAGGGAGGACAAAGTTAAAATTGCATATAATACTCGGATTTCACTTTATTCATTCTGGTCCGTCACACTAGTTAAATATTATAGAATGATTTGACAACACCGTCCAGTGTGACTCAAATATATATTTTATACGAATGCCTTTACATGTTTCGTTCAGTGATGACCATCTTCGGAAGGCATAACAATCAAAATGAATCAGATTTTTATATAAAGATTTTAATTAAGAACAAATTTTATCCTAATTAAAATCTTTATATAAAACTTCGATTCAACTTGATTTACTATGATCAATGTAACAAAAACCTTGTTGTTATTATGCTTTCTGAAGATGGTCATCACTGAACGAAACATGTAAAGGCATTCGTATAAATATATATTTGAGTCACACTGGACGGTGTTGTCAAATCATTCTATATTACTCGGATATGAAATGGACTGAACCGGCTTAAGAGGGGATTAAATGGTGGATGCAAACGTTCGCATTGTTGAACTTTCGGGCTATTGGCAATTTCAAGATAGAATAGCAGAGCAGTAACTTGCGGTTGGCCTTCGCCAGTACGGCCTTTCTTGGTTTTATGCCCCGTCGGGAACCATGGCCATATATTTTTTTTTTTAGTTTCCAGATCACTTACGTGTTTCGAATTGGGGTCTCCTCTTCGATGAAAGTAAGGGTCCGCGTGTTTAAGGTCGGTGGATGGTTTATAAACATAGGGAACAAGGCTGCTACATGAATTTCTTTCATTTTTTTCAACTGACTCTTTTAAAGAAAAATTAATTAATATTGTACAAAAATTAAGCCTGTGTTAAAGCGCGGAGAAGAATATGTTAAGTTATAACATCGACAGAGAAACTAATTGCAACGCATCGACAAGGGATACAAATTTCCTATGTACACGTCACTTTCAATTTTATCCTTCCGTGCAGAAAGACAGAAAGCAAAGTTTTCCATTTTGTTAATTAACCATCAAGCAATTAAGATGCAATGGGTACGGAAGGACATCTGCGCGCATCTGTACCAGCAGTCGGTATAGCTATGGGCTACGGGCTGAACGGCCGTGGGTCGGTGCTCGAGTTCCGGTAGAGGTAAGATTTTTCTTCTCTCCAAGTCTGGGGCCCACCCAGCCTCCTACACAATGGGTATTGTGTGCTCCTTCTCTGGGGGTAGAGCAGTCGGAGCGTGACGCTGACCACTCACCTGCAACTAGTGCCCAGGTCAGGAATATGTGGATACATGCATCCACTGCCCAATACATCTTCATGGCGTAGTGTCTAAATAGTTAAGCACTGGGACAAATTTACCTTTATTAGATGAAGGTGAGTGGCCAGCTTCACGTTCTGGTCGCTTTGCCCCACGATCAAGAAACCCCGGTGACCATTCGACAGGAGGCTCGGTCAGCTGCTGATTCAGAGTGGGAGATCTGAGGAATACAACGGACACTCCGGCCGTACAGCCAGTAGCCTAGTAGCTGCACACTGTTTCCCGCGTACAGAATGGAATGTCAAAGCAAGCACACATACACGAGCGCCGTACATTTCGGCAACTTCTCCGACTCTACTGTGAGGCGTCACGGTCCAGCAGGCGCCAGGATCCATTATGTGTCCACAGAGAAGTGACGTGGCATTCAACTGTAGATTATGTCTCTGGATCAATGAGATTCTGATCTGCAAGTTGCGTGAATACGGAGTGACCCGTGACCATTATGTTCAAGATCGGCTGCTGCAATCTCGTAAGAATAATTTCCTCTTTTTTTTTCACACAAAATTTTAGTAAATATAGAAATTACGTGTTCAATACCGCGTACGTCTCAGAACGATACTACAAAGCAGATCAGAACAGAATATGGGCTTGTAAGACTGTGCAAACAGACGGAAGCCCATCTTCGTGTTCACAACAGCACCGCACTGGAAACTATTCCGAGTTAACCAACTCCGCCCACACTCCTACACCGTCTGATTATATACCATCATTTTTATAATCACCCTATAATTTAAACCTACCTCTCACAGTACTAGGAGAACTGAGCCGAGGATATCAGGACAGACAAGGGAGGAGGAACGTGACTTTATGCCCAAATAATAGGAGGAAACTTCTTGAAAGCTTGCGTTTCAAACTCGGAATTAGAAATATTAAAATAGACATTAAGACTATCAACAGGTAATAGTAATTGCTGTGAAATGATGTAGGATCGAATCCAATAATGGTATGCTTATTTAGCTACGCCGAATAATACCAGAGAGCATAATCTCATGAGATAATAAGTGAACAAGAGACTGATAGACGGAAGGGAACAGAAAATGGGAACTCGAGTTCATCTGTGGATTAGAGGTTTTCACGGCGCTGACTATGAAGAATGCCGCCTCCGAAACGTTGCTTCACATAAGATCTACACGGCGCAACATCCCAGAAGACGGAATTCTTCGAGTTCATCTGTTCACTGTTATAGATTTACGATACATTTCATCCAAAGGCTTCAATGCTTGCTGTGCACACGTTAAGAGCTCTCGGCGCAATGATATTTCTATTTGAGTAGTGTCTCATTCGCAGCTTCGTTGATGGAGTATTTGCTTTATCCTTTCTCCGGCTCTAGAAGCTGGGGATAGTAAGAAGTAGTCAAGTTCAGGAAAACAGTGATGTGGAAATGAAGATACCATATTGTTCACTGGAAGAAAGTCTGCCGCATGTAAAGTGAAATAATGAAATAATTAACGCACTTATTTAGAGTACTACCTTCTGAGATATAACACATACAGTCATTTGGAAGTCAACCGACGTTTCGGAGGAACATAACGCCTCAGTCTTCAGGGTCGAAGAATAAGCCAAGCAACAAACCAGTTACTTGGCTTATTCTTCGACATGAAGGCGACATATTCCTCCGAAACGTCGGTTGACTTTCAACGAACTACACGGCAGATGATAGAACCCTTCATAACCACGGTTGTGAGAACTTCAAATCCTACAATATGCATGTATTTAGTCCTACGATTATCAATTTATTATTTATGAATTGTTTATTTGAAGATACTGTATGATTCAATTCATTCATTGTTTATTTAACGACAGTTAGTAACTCAGATCTGTCCGATGAAGATGAATGTGGAAAGAAGTCGTGGCCTACATAAAGGGGTTATCACCGTATTTGTCTGAAATAACTGAGGAATACCATGTTAAACCTCTATAAGGATAGTCGGTGTCGGGGTTTATACAAATGCTCATCATACACGTGGCTCATCAAACTGCACATGCAATGCAGAGCCTTTGCAACCCTATTCCAGAGTACAGACGCGACTGTGTGTAGCTGCTAGTTGCGTGTTGCTCAGGCCTGTCACGTGCTGAACGCTAAATCAATTAGAGTCAGTCTTCAATACTCGTATTACCGGATTCTCTTGCGGATATTACTACTTAATACAATTTCACGTCGTAGAAATAAAATGTTACAGGTGGTAATTCCTTTTAGGAAGGTCGCATGTGTTCTAATTGAATATGAAAGGCCCAAACTTCAGGTTTTACACGTTAAAGACAGAGGCTCGTTTTTACAATTCGGACTGTGATTGCAGTGGTCCGAGCATTTTGGCATCACTCAGTTTCGTCAGTGGTTACCTATGTTTACGAGGAACTTCCTATTTCCTTCTTTAGAGCAGAAGTCACTTCCACTACGAAGATTGAGACAGCAGGTTCCTAAAAAATTCTGGTTAACAACTACACAACTACATACTTCCATTCCCAGAAGATAAAATTTCGGACTCTTGGAAATTTCAAATTTCATCTACCTTTAAAACTGTTTAATTATGTCAGAGCCGGTCACGGTAGCCAAGCGGTCTAAGGCATGTACTGTCTTCGCTCGCTCAGAAGCTTGAATTGTGGGTTCGAATCCTACACAAGGCATGGATGTTTGGTATGTGTATGTGTTCATTCTGTGTTTAGGTAGTGGCCTTGCGACGAGCTGATCACCCGTCCAAGGAGTCCTACCGTCTGTAAAAACGATCAGTGAAACTGAGATATCAGTCCCATGCTCCAAAGTGGGAGAGAGTGGAAGAAGAATAAAATAATTATGCCAAGCGAAACACGAAGAATACCGTGTTAATACACGGAGTTGCCAAGTAGAATAGGCGCTGTCCTAAAATATTATAATGTACTACAATTAAGCGGGTGGAGTACATCTCGTAAGAAGGCGGCCTTACAGCTCCGGCCGTCTTGTCGCGATTCGCTTGACGTTATCTTTGAAACCTACTACAATAGAGCAGACACGAGAAGCGCTGTCGTGCGCGGACAAGTGAAGGGTGTCTCTGTATGTTGAGCGAAGCGGGGGAGAAGGGGGTGTGATGGATGTCTCCGAACAAAACACCCACCCTGCCCTCCTAACAGTTACTTCCTTCTTCCTTTCAGTAAATGGCTTCTCCACGGTTGCCAACATAAGAATGTTAATTTATATATCCTTTAGAGTGAAATTCAATTACAGTTGGTTCTGTTTGAATTAAAACCATAACAAGTGCAAACCAGTAATGTACACTGAAGTATATCACCATGTCATGTATATGTTAAGTCAGCAATGT